GAAGGTTGGGCAATCCTACTTCCATAGTGATACTGCCTCAGAAACCCAAGGAGGGGTCGCTATGAGTCGGGGCCGACTCGACGGCAAATAACAACAACACCCCAACATGACCTTGTTAACATAACCGATCACATCTTCACAGGTAGACCTTATATCTAAACAGGGTCACATTTGCACACACAGGGGTTAAGACTTCAGCATATCTTTTTAGGTAGACACAATGCAATCTGTAATAGTAGCCAAAATAACACATATTTAAAGTAAAATGAAAAATACCCACTCATGGTGTTGTAGCTACCACACTTGGGGAAACAAGATCTGGTCACTGGGCTCCCTTCTCAGATGGAGAAACCAAGGTCAAGAGGAGAGCAGGTTCTGATCGGGTTGCTGGGGGTTTGAGCTGGAGTCAGGCTGGGCTCTGGGCTCCTCTCGCTTCTCACGCTCGGTCACCACCCCCTTCTCCTCTTCCCTCTTTCTCCTGCCAACCTCCCCTCCCCGTTTGCTCTTTTTATAACTTCTGTCTTCCTCTTCCTCCTTCTCCTCCTTTGCCTCCTCTTCCTCCTCTTCCTTTCTCTACCACCCCTCCCCCTTCTGTTTTGCTTTCCTGGAAACTCCTATTCCCTCTCTTATTTTAAATTCCATCCTTTCAAGAAGGAAAGGTACAGATTCCCATCTTGGGAGCCAGGAACAGTGGGTTCTAGCTGGTTCCTTAGCTTTTGTAGATTTCAAATTTCTCTTTGTAAATTGGAATTAGGAATACTTCCCTGACCTACTTCCCTGGAAAGGGCACAAAGACTGGATGTTCTAAGAACAAACAAACAAAAAAGGCATTGAACGAGCCCCTAAAGGGTGATACTAATCTCAGTGAAGCAACTCACCCCAAACCCTCCCACCCTACTTCTGCCACGCTGCTCTTGTTGCAACACGCACACAGCCAGCACTTCACCCCAAACCACCACCCCATTTTTCACTTGAGTGCTGTGTCCTGATTTCTCCACTTCCTTCTGCCACACCCCACTCCCAACACCCACTGAGCCATAAAACCCAAACAGGTGGCAGGCTGCCCCCTCTGGACTGTTGAGAAGCAGAGGTCAGAATGGGCTATCATAAAA